GGAAAGAAGACAGCTGCTTGGGCACTAGTTGTGTTTCAGTCTGAAGTACATCTAATCTTTATTGATTTATTTGATTCTCATGTGCCAAGTGCAGAAAGTTGTGCTTTAGTGGGATGAGAATTTTTTTTTCTTTTAATATTAATGTGTAATTTTGGCCAACAAAAAAAAGGTTTAGAAGATGATAGCAGTTCTCAAAATGCATTAGACTTAAAATTCAATAAATATACCCAGTGCTTTTGTATGAATCCTCCTCAGTTTGTTGCTTGTAGAGGAAGCACTGCTATTGGAAATCAATCTCAAGCATTTTAATGATCAATTAATTCTGAAAGCTCCTTAATGTCTTCTCATCTGAAGCTTAAACATTTTTTATTTGTCTACAGTTTTTCCATTGCTCGGTCTGACACCTATGATGGATTTGGTCTGAGTGCCTTAAATTACTCATGAGATTTGGGCACGTTAGAGCTCTCACTGTTTGTTATTGTATTGCTTGAACTGTTTGCAGGGAGTATGGGCTGGGTAAATCCACCTTATGCTGAAATCAGTAACCGAAGCTGCAGAGGCTTCAGGAGCTCCAGAAAACATTCACCCACAGGTTTCACTGGTCAAACCTGGTAGGTGACCAGAGGAAAAACAGCTGCTGAAGGAGCAGCGGTTGCAGTGTAGCAGCTCCAGCTGTCCAAGGCAGGGCAGCACTGCAGTCCAGGGCACTGGCTGGGCACTGCCCGCCCTGGGCACAGTGACAGCTGTCTCTGTGAACCCGGTGCTGTCACGGGAGGCTCTGGTCTGTCGTGTCTCAGAGAATCTCAATTACTTTTGGACATAAGTCCAAGAGCACAGGGCACAGTATAAGAGATAAGATCAGTACCAGAATTAATCTCTTGTCTCTGTTTTATGAGATATTGAATCTCAGAAGAGCATTTGATGAAAGAACTGGCTGAACTGCAGAGCTGAGAGAGGACAGATGTGTCGGCAGCATTGCTTGGCAGTGCTTCCTCTGCCAGTTCTCTGTGCACTGGGAAAATCTGTCAAACAGGGCTGTATCACAGCGAGCAATTTGCAGTTAGTTTTACATTCCCCACTGTAGTCCTTTCTGCATTGTAAACTAGTCTCTTATCAATACCTAGCCTTCAATCTCAATTCAATGTGCTGCATGATTCACAGCACAGGTTTCATGACATTGTCTTACCAGTCCAGTTTTCATGCTAGTGGTACTTTTTAGTATAAGTTCTTTTAGAGAGGTCATTTTATGTTGATGAACCTTATAATGACAAGAATTGGGGAGCACTATGTCAGTCCTGCCCAGAACAGTTATAATTTGCAAGGTATCTTTTTTTAGAACAGGATACTCTTGTGAATGTTGTGTATCTTTAACTAGATCTAGTTGGGATTTAGCTTCGTAGTTAGCTGAAAATACAAATCTTTCACTTGACTGAAGCTGTAGTGCAGCAGTTGCTCCAACATATCAAGATGTTATTAGAGAGACACATGGACTCGGAGAGGAATTTCAGAAGGATTATACTGCCTAAGTACTCAGCAGTTGCTAAAATAAAAGTTGGCATTCAGGTCATATTAACTAGAAACCAATATTCCCGAAAATGTTATGTAAGTAATTATTATATATTAGGTTGCCATATGTCTGTGTGTGTGCTGTGTCCAAGACAGCAAACGTCAAATGCACTGTCGTGATCCCCTCCCATCGAGTGAATGGCAAAATTGCTCTCGTGCTATTTCAGAGGATGAGCATGTTCCTGTGCAAGAGACACAGTCAGCAAGTGCAGTGATGAAGACATACATGTCAGTGGGATTACCCTAATACAGGGTATTAATGTGGCACCAGGCAATGATGCTGCACCCGGATTTCTAACAGTGTCTCCATTCCAGATCCTTTTTGGAAATGTTCAGAGCCCATTTACTGCACACTAAGATTAAACTCCTGATTGAATGAATTACAGTCAGGCCTTAAGATAAAATTACACTCCATGGATAATCATAGCTTGTGCTAACCTTTATTGGGTGCAGGGACATAGAGACAAAGGATGAAGAAACGCCAGAGGCACTTAAAGACTGAGGCAGAGAAGGCATTAATAGTAAGAGCAGTTGTTCTCCGGGTACCAAACCCCCTGAGCTGGAGGAGAGGGCCAGGGATCAGAATGAAACACCTGTAATCCAAGGGGAGATTCTCAGTGATTTCACTTCACTTGACTTCAACATTCACAAGTGTCTGGGGCTGGATGGATCCAGCCAAGGGAACCAAGAGACCTGGTGGAAGTGCTCACTGAGCTAGTGCTCACTGAGCCATTCCATCACTGATCAGCAGTTTCACCAGAGGGGGTTTAGATTGGATATTCGGAAAAAGTTCTTCATGGCAAGGATTGTCAAGCACTGCAACAGCCTGCCCAGGGCAGTGGTGGTGATCCCTGGAGGGATTTAAAAGATGTGTTGATGTGGTACTTGGGGACAGGGTTTGTGGTGCACTTGTCAGTGCTGGCTCAGTGGTTGGACTTGATGGTCTTAGAGGTCTTTTCCAACCTAAACAATTCTGGGATCTGATTTACCAATCAGCGTTACTCTAGCTATAGAAGAGATTTTTAAAAGGTAGTCAGGAAAAGCTACAAAAAATACAGACCTGGAAAGTCTTGCTTAGGCAATATGCTCGTGAGCTTCTGCTCTAGACTTAGACATTTTCATCAAAATTTTCTTCCTTTACTGTTAGAGATACTTCCAAAATCTTTGCCCCTTATCATTCTCATGATCTGATCATTGGGGAGTTTTACTATTATGTAGAAACATGTCTTTAAAGGTTTAAAAAGCAAGCAAAAAAACCCCCAAAACATTTTTTTTGTCTGTTTAAAAATAAATATTTGCTTCCTATATATAGTCAGAAAATAAAAATGCCTGAGTGCCCTTTTTATGTAAATAGTTTGAATTCTGTAGGTCTTTCCATGGAAGTTAGGTCTAAATTTTACTGGGAAAGAGATTAATCAGAAGTCTAGAACTTTTGGTTTTATTCTTTTGTGCTGTTTTCTTTTATATTTGGTTTCCTTTTCTTTGTTTATGAGAGTATAATTTATAAGATTCATTGTCAGAAGATTTTTGAAATTTACTGCAGCGTGCGTGTTGTGGGGAAGATTCTATGACCTTGTGTGTCATGCTCAACTTAAAAAGAAGAAGAAAAAAACCCCATAATATATTTTTATTCTGCTCATTTGCTGATTACTGTTTCCATTAATCCAGCTGAACTAAAGTTCTATGCAAATATCTTAATGAAAGGCCTGGTATTTACTGTATTCTACTCCATTTCTATGACAGGACAATAAATTGGAATTCACTGGAGTAAGCTCCAGATTGTATTTCATTAGGAAGTTGGTAACAAAGCAGTAGCAATATTTTCTTTAAAATATCTGTGGTTATCTTACACATTGTTGAAGATACTTACCTGATTTTTTTACTGTTTGGGGTCCTGTAATTACAGGTTTATTTGAATGCACAGTATATCTACTACTTTAGAATTGGGTTACAAGATATTAAATTTCAAAGATGGCAATAGGGAATGTTTGAGATTAGCCCATTCTGTAATTCTGCAAATAGTTCAGAACTCTTTCTCCTCGCCCTTGCTTTCCTCTTCTCACATGCATCCTTGTAACTGTCCTCCCTCCAAATCATCTTTTCATCTCCCTCTTGTGCCCAGAGCCCATCCTTTTCTTCTTGAGTGTTTGATTTACTTGACCCAAGCACTCCGTTCCACTTTTCCTGGTTGTCAGAAGTAAGAGATCTTCTCTACTGATATTACTGCTATGACATTCCCCTCTGAGGTTCCTGAAAAGATCTGGTAGTTTGCATTGGCTGTTGTTCATCTGCTGTGCTCAGATTTGGCAGAGTCTTCTCACAGAATTAGGAGCTTCTGAGAATTTGGGTTTGGCCTGGTTTAGCAGGGGTAATGTACAGAAAATCTGAGAGATCTCTAATTTGATGCAGACTTCTGGACATAAACTTGTGCTTAGCATCACAAAAACGTGCCCAGGGCCAACTCTTGCTGTGTCTTTTATGGCTGCAAGGGCTGTGACACAACCAAATCTTCTCTTTGGTTTTCTTTGGAGAGAGCAGAGAAGTGGAAGTTTGTGCAAGAGAGAGGCCACAGGAGCCTGACTTTCCCTTTGGGAGCAGGGTTAGGACATCTTTGGGGGATCCTGAAGTACAGTCCCCTTTCTGCAATCACAACTATTTCTCCTGCTGAGGAGGCAGGTTATGAACTGTGGGCCTGTACTGCCAGAGCAGTTAGGGGGGATGGCAGGAGCAGACATGGCAGCAAGGTCACAATTTGTCAGTAATGTCAATGACATTTTCCCTTGGTCCTACTTAGAACTTACTTTTGCTTAGTACAACTCAGTAAATTCTCTCATTAATTATTCCTTCTACATTTTAATTGTTCTTTTACGTGGTCAGCAGATCATATTTAGTCCTTTATAATAGTTTTGCATAAAATGAAAATGTTCTGTGATGTAGATGCACTGCTGGGACTCAAGCATGAGAGTATGGTGTTTGGATAACTCAAAATCCATTTACTTCATTATTTGCTCATTCACTTAAGTTGTCACATTATACTGCTCATGAACAGCATTCATTTTTGTTGAAACTTTCATACCTTCACAAAGATATCTAAGAAATATCACTAGGAGAAAAGTTGTCCAACTTAACATAATATATTCCTAATGCTTTACTTGGTCTGCAGGTGCTCCTCTGATATTATAATTAATTACAACAGTAATTAACCTACTTGTGGAGAATAGAAAACTTTGAATGTTTAGTAAGTTTTTGAATGCTTCAATTTAATCTTCCTTTTTCTCAGAACACTCCAAACAAAACAATGTCCAGGACCTGGAGAGGAAAAGCACTGAACAGCCCTGCAAACACTGCAAGGTACCCTCCCTCTGCTGAGGCAGCTCATTGCACACCTCATCTTTCATTTAATACAGTAAAGGGAAAAGAAGAGAGAGACACTGTAACAAATCATCATCTTTATTTCAATTTCATTTTGCCCTGTCAATAGGTTTTAGTAAATCAATATTTATACTGAAAGATATATTTAATATGGGGGGGGAAAAGACTTTTATAATCAAAGTGTTTTCTTTTAATTGCTTCTTCAGAAATACATTTTGATAATAGCAACTGCTCGTTACAATACAAACCAGAAAAAGCATTCATGTACTGTGGCATGGGAAGTACTGCCAGTTCTACATGCTCTGCATAGTTTCTTTAAAACTTTTATGTTCTTTAGGCCTCAACAAAAACCAAAGCTCCTCTTCCAGGTTTGGTAGCAAACAGACTGTTATTCTCCACTGCTAACCTTTGGCCATCCGTTTGGTAATAAGCTTTTTTTACATTTTTTAGGAAAGTGTTCAGCTTGTCAGTAGGCACCATTGACACAGTGCAGCCACCCCATCCAGCTCCAGTCAGACGTGACCCAATGGCCCCAAATTGCCTAAAAGAAAATAACAGGGGAAAAAATCATGTAAAATAAACCAAAAAGAGGTACTTTGTCATATATAAAATTTTTATAGAAAACTCAGATGTGTTTTGAGTATTCCCACGTTATCAAGCTTTTCTGATGTTCACTTGCTTGTATGTAACACTGCAGCAATTTGCAGTTACCCTTTTGGACCAAAGAAAAGTGCTGATGCCTTAAACTGCAATATAGTAATTTCTGTCCATTCCAAAAGTTCCCCTGTTTTCTAAAGCTTCAGCATCAGCTGTTTTTGGGATCACAGCACAGCTGAGATGAAGAAAGCAGGAGAAGAAAGGAATTGTGTTAGCAAGATTCATAAGACATCAGAAGTGAAAACAGAAATACATGACAAAAATAACAAAAGAGGGTTCATAAACTAATTGCACAGGATGTAGGCATGCAAGCCATTTTCTAATGTGGCAAAGACAAATAGCTCTATTCTTCCAGGACAGATCTAAACCATGCTGAAGATTCACAGGCTTCTGCAGGACTGCTGAGTGTGCCAGTCAAGAAAAGGAGAGTTCAGAGACTCTCAAAAAGTCATAGAGTCACTGCACTCTATATAAATAAACTCACATAAACCTCTGTTTATGCTGAATGGACATAGCTGGGTATCTCTCTTTTGAGGAACCTCATGAACTTAAGACTGACAGCAGTAGAGGTAAAGTATGAATGTAGTCCCAAAAGAAAAAAATGCTCTTAATGAGGAGTGTGAACAGAAAGAACAATGACAAATAAATGACATGCAAAATATAAACCATTCCCAGCCTCAAGATACTGGCCTGCTAGAAATGTCCTAGAGCAAAACCCATGCTGTTACACAGCAAGACTCAGATGCCATCTCATTAGAATTTAGAATTGTTTTCAATAGTTTGCTTACCTGTGTTCCTGATCTCTACTTGGAAAAAGTAGGAAAAGACCATATAATAAGTTACTTTGGGGCTTTTCTAACCTAGTGAGAACAGAACGAGTCAGATTTAGAAAACTCATCTGAAATCTTATTCTTGTGGGAGATCTAATCTGACTTACAAACAAATACTTCTGATGTGTTTCCACTAGCCATGCACAGAGAGATTCACCAGCCCTAGAATATGTTAGAGGGAGACAACATCATGTGAATAGCATTGGAAAATGACAGCTCATTTGGAGTGGGCTGTTGTAATTCTTCATGTGTGCATTTTATGTTAAATGAATCTGGTGTAGTGCTGGGTTAGTAGAGGTTTAGGTCATATTTCAAGCAAGTACTTGCATATGTGTTTTATTCTAAACACACATCTCTTCTTGAACAGAAACACTTTCTTCAGTGTGTCTGTGTGGTGCCACCCTTCATATTGACTCGATTTTATGTTCATTCTGCATTTCCTGTTGATGTTTTATTTTACTTATTGTTATTCCTGTAAGCCACTCATTCTCTGATGCAATTTTGGTAGTTTCTAGTCCATGGAGCAACCTCCTAAAATGAGCAGGATCCAATCCAGTATCAGTTGCAATCAATAAGGATATTCCCATTGACTTTATAAGGCCCAATCCACTTTTCAGACTCTGTTAAATGAACTGTCTGTACTCATTTTGTCTGTTACCTCAGACAGAACTTCGTATTTCAGATGGTGTCTGGCTTTTATTTTGGTAGGCAACCAAAATCCCTTCAGAATTGTTCTGAACCTTTTATTGATTTCATAATTCTCTGTGGTCATGCTCATGCCTCATTTTTACTGAGTCATTTTCGAATACTTAGTTGAAATAAAGCATAAAGTAGACAGAAAATATGCCTGTTGCAGAGCTGAAGTCACTGTGTTTCAAAATACTGTGGCTTAAGAGTGTCAAATGTGGTGGCAGCAGCCACCTGGGGCTGCTGAGGAACTGATGGGCACTGCTGCACCATCTGAAAACCAGGTACCTGGTACTACATGGGTCCAGGAAGGAGCACCTAATTCTGTGTCTGCAGGAGATGTGGTGCCTGGGAGGTTCCTAGATCAAACACAAGGAAGTTGTCTTTGGAACAGGTCTGAAACTGCCTCATTAAAGTTTTAATCAGTTCAGTACTAAGCTGGACCCCTCTGTTAAAGTGGGATTCCTGGCCAGACACTCCTCTTGTGCACTGGGATCTTTTTGGAGAGGAGTCTGAGCAGACAATCTTGTGGATGGGGAGCTGGCCCCGCCGTGGGAGGTGTGGATTTCATGTGTGGGAAAGGCCCCACGTGCTGCTGGGCTGAGCTGCAGCCCCGGCCAGGGAAGGCAGGGAGCAGGATCACGGTCTGGAGCCCAGGGCTGGGGCACTCGGCTCCCAGCCCCAGCTTCTGGCCTTTGCTTCTGCAAACGTTTATGTATCTTGTTCCAGCCTTCATTGGACACAAAGAGAATTAGCCTATGGGGGTGTAAATGAGTAAAAATATGAGTAGTGCAGCAAAGGAAAGAAGAATAAAAGAATAAAAGGAGGGAGTAAAAATGGAAATCTCGTAGTTTGGTATATGAGAACAGTAGGCAAGACATGGTAGTAGTCCATTTTAAAAATAACTGTGCTTTTAAGAGGAAAAAAAGACTCCAGAACAATATTGTTAATTTGAAATACTTAAAATTATGACGTAGCTTTGCAGAAAGCATGGAGTTACCATGGTAAGATTTATATATATAAACGGGGAGGATTGTGCTTATTCTGCTTTGTAATTTAGTTTGCATTGAATAGCATCTTTAACTGTTTCTGGCTTTGTTGAAATTTCAAATTATGCCATGATTGCAGGCTCTGCAGCTTTAAGAAAATCATCAGTGGAAATGGTAAGAGTCTTGATAAAATGCAGAATTTTGTTGGCTACCATGAGCTGGATGTAAGGTACAATCTGTATCTTTTTAAAGTGGTCAGAGAGGATTCATCTGTCTGTCATGTAAGAGGCATGGCTGGGAACACAAAAATTACCAGGATTTATAGCACCAAAATATGGAGAATAAGAAAATGAAAGTAAGTTATGTGCAACACTAAAGACTGGGAGATTTTCAAGAGTACCTAACTTACTCAGGAGCTCACATCCAATTTTTTTCCCTTAATTGTTTAGTAAATCTGCTGTGCTACCTGCTTTAGAAGACTAACAGGTAAACCAGCTACTAAGAGCATGAGGAGAGTTAGAGAAAGCACAAGTCTTCAATCTTTGCAAAATGAAAAAAACAACTGACCAACTCGTGGTTACAGTTTTCAGCACTACAAACCACAGCAAGCATGGATCCCTTTCTTTCTTGGCAGAGGTTATACAGTAAAACATAAAGATCTAGGCAAAAGAGAAAACATCTGGATATGCAGATTATTCTTCACAGTTTAAACTTTGTAAGGAGAGAGCAGCAGTAGACTCAGGCAATTCTGTGGAATGTATTTTTGGAAAAGCTTTTGAAAGTTACAGGGCGGCTGTATATCATCGTGAGTAAAGAATGTAATTTATGTAGTTCCTGACCATTTCTATAATCACATCAGCCAAGTCTTCCTGGAGTGACTAGTGATTTTATGTCCTTAACTTAAGAAAAGTTAACACTTTTTTTCCAAAAACTCGATGCTGGCTTAAGCTGCATTCATCTAGAAGAGCTATACACTTTTAGAAATCTAATTACTGAACTAGAAAAAGATTTAATATTAAACTTCTAGAGAAAAAAGATGCATTTCTTAGGAAATATTCTTGATGGGACAAGACTGCAAAGAATAATGAACAAACAATTTACTTTTTTCTGTGCAAACAATACAATAAGAAAAAACCCCAGATGAAATAATTTTAATACATAAATTTGAAATCATTCCATGTGAATGACACTCCACTGTGGTACTTAGCTCTGCCCATCATATATTGTGGGCTCTTCTGCTGGTAGATCAGAAATCTGATATAACATGGGCACGCACATCACTTTTTTCCTTTACTATTTATATTTTGCTCCCTGGAACTGAAATGCTCTGATGAATTTTAATTTAATTTAGAAAAAATTCTAACTGCTGCTTTCCTTTTGGTGCTGTGGCTGTGCTCCTGCCTGCCAGCCAGTGTCCCCCTGCCTGAGCTGGCTGGAGCTGTGTCACCATGGAAGCACAGAGCTCAGCACAAATGGGGAACACAATTTCCATTCCCCTGCTGAGCTTCCTGCTGCCAGAGGCTGTCACTGCCATGCTTGCTGCTTTACTGGAACATGGCACAGGTAACTCTGTGTTTAATGGAACGTGGCACAGTTAACTCTGTGTTTAACAGAACATGGCACAGGTAACTCTGTGTTCACTGGAGCATGGCACAGGTAACTGTGTTTAACAGAACATGGCACAGGTAACTCTGTGTTCACTGGAGCATGGCACAGGTAACTCTGGCTTCACTGGAACGTGGCACAGTTAACTCTGTGTTTAACAGAACATGGCACAGGTAACTCTGTGTTTAATGGAACATGGCACAGGGAACTCTGTGTTTAATGGAACATGGCACAGGGAACTCTGTGTTTAATGGAACATGGCACAGGGAACTCTGTGTTTAATGGAACATGGCACAGGGAACTCTGTGTTTAATGGAAAGTGGCACAGGTAACTGTGTTTACTGGAGCATGGCACAGGTAACTCCACACTGCAGAGCACATCTGGCTAGGCTTGTTTTCCTAAGCATACACCTGCTTGTATTCCCCTGCCCAGGGCAGCACAGTTTCCTCCCAGCTTTTCTTAGAACAGGCCCTGTCAGAATGAGCTCCTCAGGTCTGCCAGGTGCATTCACTGGATGGCACTGACTGAGGATGCCCACAGCTCTGGGCATTACTGTACAGAGCAATGCAGATGTTAATTTAGAGCTCCTGCCCTGCCAGTGGTGCCTCAGAACAGGCAGTGCCAGTGCCTTGCACGGGATAAAGACTTCATTGCCCAAGACCTTTGACAATTCAGTAGAGCTCAGTCTCTGTCTTCAGCTGACCCTGGAGATGGTTCTCCCCTCTCACACTCAGATCAGCAGTTCCCTTTGAGCAGCTGGGATAACTCTGGTGGAACTGCCCTGCTGAGTGACTGTCACAGCTTATTGTATGATGTGGTCACTATGTGATACAATAAACTGAACACAGCCTTGGAGTTACACCCTGGACTGGGTCCCAAGAGAAGAATCAAAACTTGTTCTGCTCAGTTGCTATCAGTCTCTCCAGTGGCTATCAGGCTGCTTTGTGTTTTAGCAAAAAAGAGCACGTGTATCCCACATGCAAAAGAATCTGTCAATGTCCAGAAGTTTTCTGTTCAGTTTTAGCTTTGTAGCTTTTTGCCTCAGAGGCCATTCCATCTTGTCTGCAAAAGAAATCAGACCCACCTAAATAATCATGTTTTGTACTCTATTGATTTACAAACCTGATAAATGGGTACTGCAACTTAAAAAATCCATGAGTGCAGAAGTAAATGTGCATGGTAAATTGCATGCTTGGAAAATTAGTAAATTAGTATTTTCATTCTAAGCCAGACTAATTTCTCAATTAAAAAAAAAAAAGCTGGTAAAGGTGGTAAGGTATTAATTATTTAATTTTTTTAACTTCAAATTGAAACTTCAAATTCAAGACTGAAAAGATGTAGAGAGAGTATGGGATATCTGCTTCTAAAAGACAGTGAAACAACATTTCTTGACCCAGGCCTGCAAACCCTTGTGTCACCCCACATTTCCCTTCCAGCAGGCCAGTAATGTTCTGGCTTAGGGCAGTTTCCCAAACTAAGCACACCCTTCTCCAAGGAGAAGGAAGAACAACTAGGGGCACAAGTTAGGAGGGTGGCATCACCAGGGAGCCATTATGGGACTGTGGGGAGCAGGAGGGACAGGGTGGCTGAGGCAGAGACAGGGATGGAATAAAGGTAGGACAGCCCAACTGGGCAACTGTTCATTTCCCCCAGCCACTGTTAAAATGATCACCAACCACTAAATTCCTTCTATAGGCACTGCATTTAGATGAAAAGTAGCATCAGGTGTCTGTTCTGTGATTAAATGTACCAGAAAAAGAGAAATAAGGAAGGAGTGAAATATGTCCATTGTTTGATGGTGACCCTGTGGGAGGGATGAAATGCTGTGTAGGATGTGAGTACTCAGTGCTTGTTTTCACTTTGTGGATTAACACACAATTGTACCAGGTCCCATTGTCCCCTGTAGCCGAGCCATGGAAACAACAGCCTGATACCACAACAACCTGTGTGTGAGAGAAGGGACAAAATGGCACTCAGAGAATGTGCTTTGAATTGAAATTGTTTCCCCATGACCAAACTGAGTTGGGAAGGGATCACAGCTGAAAGATTAATGCTGGGGCAGAGATGGGGACTTAATTATATGTGGAAAGCTCAGCACAGAGAGAAGCAGAGTGTCAGCCCCTGTAACAGCACACTTATTTCTTAAACAGTGAAATGCTGTCCAACCTATCTAATACTCTGGACAACATATTTCTTAATTGAAAAAATGCAAATGGCATTTCAATACATTTCATTATACTTTCAAGACAACCTAAGATTGCAGAACAGCTTGTTTATACCCTGGAACTCCTGTGGCAGCAGTACTGAAATGGTCAAGAAACGTGAAAAAGGTAGATTTAGATTAGATATGGGAAAGAAATTCTTTCATATGAGAGTTGTGAGGCACTGGAATAGGTTGCCCAGAGAAACTGTGGATGCCCCATCCCTGGAAGTGTCCAAGTCCATTTTTGATTGGTCTCTGAGCAGCCATGTCTGGTGCAAGGTGTCCCTGCCCATGGCAGGGGAGCTGGAACACAATGATCTTTAATGTCCCTTCCAACCCAAATTGTTCTATGGCACTATAATTCTAAGAAACAAAGAAACAGTTCAGATAGAACAAGTAAGATGATGTTTTAAGAAAACCACTTATGACTTCTTCTGCAACTTAAAAAAGAGTAGCCAACAGTCTAACGTAACACTTGTGACGATGAGTCAGTCCAAAAGCAAAATCTGTAATAAAGCCATAAACCGTAGCTTTCATCTGAAAGTATTACACAGATGTCAGCAGGGAAACAATTGACCGTGTAATGTCCCTGCAGGAGATTAATTTTGTAAGAAGAGACAAGAATACTTTCATTTTAAGATTGCAATAGCCAAGGATGTCATGTTTTCTCCTCAATTCGAACCGTATTCTGCACAGACGATTACTCTTCCTTGTGGTCAGAACTTACAGGCAGATGTCGACCAGGCGGTCCAGTTCAGGACAGCTGCACTCATACATCTCCCTGCAGCTGATATGGCTCTGCTTCATTAATTCTCCCAGCAGCTGGAGTGCGTTGGCAGGTGCTTCACTGCAAATCTTCTGAAATTCCAGCACTCTGGCAGCCTCACTGTACACGTGCTTTGCACGCTGGTGTAACTTAAAGGTGGAAACTACACAAAAAGAAAACTGCATTATTACTTACTACAAAAGCAAAATACAAAAATATAACAGAATTGTGGTTTTATAGCAATTTATCCTTTATATAAGAACTCTCTAGGCTGAAAGTCTTCTGCAAAAGTTCACCTACATCTTCTTTAAAAGCCCTAATAAAACATAATGTTTAGAGGTTATCAAAATGCAACGTACACATCTTTTTTCATTTTGACAGCTTCATACACATGCTCTGGTTATTTCCTGTACCACTGAACAGGCTCAGTCTCTCCTCTTACTTTGCAGAGGCAAGGCAGAAGCTTAAGGGTTGGCAGTGACAGCATTAGGGCATTAATCTAAAGCTTTCAGGTTTTCAAACAGCAGCAGAACAGAGGCAGAATAGCAGCAGAACACCTGGAGGGTCCCCAGTGCCCTGCAGGCAGCTGTCAGCCAGCACCTGCTGGCCCAGGGCCTTGTGTGTGGCTGCTCCAGGCCAAATCTGCAGCAATTATGGAACAGTGCAGATGGACCTTTGCTTGAAAAAAAACAACCCCCAAACCACAAAAAACACCCCCCTATTTTTTTCTCTTTTTTTTTTTTTTTCTTTTCTCAACAATGCAGGCTCACTGTGACTGTAGCTCATACTGGATTAAAGGTACAGAGAAGAGAACAGGCGCTTTCACTTTGGTTTTCAGGGTTATTTTTGGTACAGGTTACTTGTCAAAGTGTTAGTACTGCCTGTGTGGATGTGCAGAGATGCCAAGCCCAGACAGGTTAGTACTGACCTACTAAGATCAAAGACTAGTGCAAGGATTTTGGCTAAATTTTTTTAATTGTGCCATAAAAAAGCAGTTCTGTTGGGAATGGTCAGGGGCGTGTCCAAACCTGTGTGGCCATCAGGGTAGAGACCTCCATCAGGCCTGAATAATGGGGCATAAAAAGGAAGGAGATGACTGTGGTTAAAGACACCACAAGCCACCCATATTCACAGGAAGGTTTGGTTTGCAACTAATATCTGAGAATTGATCTGCTGTTCCCAAGCTTGTGCTGTAGTTCATTGTTTTCCTCTCCCAATATAGTTCTGTTTGCTTTAATACCATGGCTACTGTTTAGGAAGTATTGTTCACCAGAAGCATGCATGACATAATTTAATTTATGACTAAATTGGTTTGTGTGAGCTGTTTGGGTGGTAAATATTAATGGACTTTAACCTCCATATGGAGCACCTACTGCACTGTTCCTTATTTTAGCACAGCAAAGCCTTGCTAGAGCACTTCAGAACATCCTTCATCTTCTTTTTTTTCTACATGTAAATTCTTCTTTAGATGAAGTTTCTCTCTCAATTCAACTCCTGGTCTCTCTTGCTTTCTAAAATGGCGATAAAACACTCAAATAGAGGTAAAAGGAGAAGCAAGACCAGCCCTGTATTTGAAATAGAACTTGCTGTCTGACCCAGTCCCACAGAGTTTCTACTTGGCTGTTCTGTGGAGACTGCCAACTTCTGGAACCACTTCTGACACTTTCAGTAATCTAGATTTTCAAATACATGTAGAAATCTTCCTTGAAAGACTGGAAATAAAATTAGGTCCAGTATGAAGTCTCTTGTGTTGTACATTCCAGGCAGCAACCCTTACAGACTAAAACTCATCAGCACCTCTATAATGCCTTTTTTTTTTCTCCAGAGTATTTCACAACTGTAAATGCTGAAAATAGTGCTGAGACACAACTAGCCTAAAATGAGACAGAAACATTTAACGTAGCAACGTTCTGCTACTGCTGATATTGCTTCTGCTCCTATTTATTTTGTAATTCAATACAGCCTGCTACTGAGAAACCCTGTGCTGTTTGTCTTGTGAACAGGCCTTCTGAAAGCATTTCAAACTAGGACAGAAATGAGAAAATTGAGTGCCCCCCAGAACCATGGACTTGAGAGTATCACACAGGAAGAGCATATTTTAGTTTCTGATTTTGTTGCTGCTGGAGTTAGTTGCACTGTGTTTTGCAAAGTGGTGCCTCTATTTTTGAACGCTGAAGAAAGGCAGCTTGGCCTATTTTTAAGGAGGGTTTCTCTTTAAATATTCTCTTCTTATGAGGCATTGTTTTAGAGCAAGGAGATTTCTAAATGTGCATTCGTTTAGGGAATATCTAAAGTTGCGTGAGAGATTGCCATAGCTCACACTCTCTTGTAAATCACCATCGAACAGTAGTAACCCAAAGAATGAACTGAAAACATGTCTGGTTTCAATTGTCAGGCCACAGACTTGCCAAAGGCTGTGATTGATTCGGAGACCACCCTTTGGTAGAGCAATGCTCTACTGGCCAGATTACCTTAAAATCTCTGGGGTTGTGTTGTGCTCGTCATGTCAGGAATTGGCAACTGCGCTGGGCGCTGGGCTCTGGTTGCCAGCCAGGGGACCTGGGCCGTGTCCTGGGCACTGCTGGCTCTGGGAGAGCCTCTCAGTGGAGGGGGAATTTGCTACCTTGACACGGCTTCCTTGGCTGGGAACACGCTCCTTCCAGGCAGCAGAGGCTGTGTGTTATTTGCAGACTCCTTTGCTGACGTTTACCAAATGAGTACTGGTTAAAGGCTGGGATCCTGGCATTAGCTATTGCTCTGTTACAGGCGGCATTTTATTTTTTTAAAAAATGTTTGTGTTTAAAAATTTCTGTTATAGCTTGCTTTTCTTCTCAGGCAGTTTTCAGGCAAAATTATCTTCAGGACAGCAAACAGCTAGGTACTCTTTAAGCCTTATTCCAAAATAATGAAATTATTCACATATTTTCAGCTTTCAACACCAAATGCCTCTGATAATACAGAAACCTTCTTCTATCTCTTCTGTTTGGATGGGTAGTCCAAACAAACCCTCTCTACCTAACAGAAGATAGAGTACAGATGATATTTCTAAAAGTCACATCTATACTGGGATCTGTTTGCTATATCACAGCTTGTATACTGGCTCCACTGACTTCCTGAGCCATACTCACTCATTTCCTAAGCCAGTCACAGTTAAAAGAAACTAAACCAGAGGGCCCACACACCTGATTGGTTTATATCTGAGCCAAGGCTGGAGTCATCTGAAAGTGGAAAAACTGAAGCCCTCAAAGAAACCCTTGCAGAATTGCACAGAACTGGGTTATATGGTCTTACTTTCTGTGGTGCTCAAAGGAGAGCATAAAAACCAGGGTTAGGGAACTAATGCCAGATTCTTAAAAGCATATGGATCCTTAAGGCTACTATGATGTATGGAATTAGGTAATTAATTAGACCAAAAATGTAAATATACTTTCCTAATCCACTCAACTAATAAGAAAGGCCTGGTTTCTCCCACTTCAGCTTCTGAGTTCTCTGAGATTTGCTCCTGCAGAGGATTTCTGTCAGGTCACCCATGAACAGGTAAATTCAGTTCACTTACAAACCACCAAATGCCCTTGAAAGAATGGTGCCATTTTCCAGGGCACTAACAGATAACACTGCAGCAAGAACCTTCCAAGTTGCTGTGACCCAGCAGACTAATGTTAATGAAAGCTTGTTCAAAATCCATATAAAATTCCCTAACAGACAAAAATCTGGGCTATTAGACCCAAATAATTGTGGGTTAACTAAATATAACAGAAATGTTTACTGTGGATTTTCAACTGTATGGTCATATTTATAATTTTAGCTTTACAAAAACTGTGCAAACCTGCCCAGTCCATTTAAAGGATTTTTTTTTTCTGTATAAGTAAATGTTGTGGCTTCTCAGCAACTCATACTATTTGTTACAACTTCAACTTCAGCAGATTCCTTTCTTTAGAGGCTTCCTGTACAATTCTATCTGACCTTTAGCTAAAGACCAACCTCTCCAGGCTATATATTTTTTTCTAGTTGCTTTGGCAGCTTCTAAAGATACATTTCACTGGAGATTAATGAGCTGCACATGGCTGATGGGACTGTCAGAAATTTACAACCGGAAAAACTCACGGACACGCAGTTGTGTAGGGGACAGTTTCTAGCACCATTACTCACGTGGAATTGTACCCTTCTCTGTTAGGCATCCTGCTGATTGAACATGATGAGGGTGAAGGTTTCTGGCTCATAATGTATATAAGAAAATGCTGCCAGATGGCTTTAATTTGAGCCAGATTGTGAACCCCCTACTTGAAGTGGGGAACAGTTACTCTCCTGGGACTGCTCAAGTAACTGTTTGCAATCCAGCTTTCTGAAAATAAACCAGGGACGAGCCATCGCTGGATTCGGTGACACATTTAGCAGACACCTGTTTTGAGATTATGATAACTACTGGTTTAAAGTGATTTTTCCTCCAGAGGAATGATGGCTTTACAAGGCTTTTGCAACTAACCTGGACTATTCAGTACCTGTGCCTAACCTGTGGCACACCCCAAAAGGCCCCATCCTCCAGGTATGGGATCTGCCTGGAGCAGCCACATCAATGTTTCTGTAGGATGTCCCAAAATTTCTCCATGACATGGATCAGGGCGAGGCTGAACTAGGCACTTGGACCCTTAAACTGGAAAGTGCTCTGAAGTCTGTTAGTTTGGAGGAGTAACTTCTGGTCCTGCAGGACATCTGATGCACAGAGAGAGCTTTTTGTGCCCCAAGCTGCCTGAGAGAACACTCAGGACCCCCTCACCTACACCCATCAGTGCAGGGAGTGTGAAACTGCTCCTGCACTCAGGTCACCATCAATGCCCATGAATGGCTGTTGAAGCACCAGTGGAATTTGCAGCACAGATTTAGAATTGTCTTTCCAGGGGACAAATAGGAATTAAACAGTCAAATCCACACAGCAAATGGATGCCTACTCCTCCCATGGTGTTTTCATTCTCTGGTTTAAATGTCAGAATTAGATTAATTTTTTTTTTTAATATGAAAAGGAAAAATGGGTTTAAAAAATACCTCATTTAAGAAGAAAAAAACATTTCATGGTTAAAAGAATACAATGTTTTACAGGAGAATATCCTTTTGTGGTGAAGCTTATAAATACTTAATGTCCCACAATCACCACACACTATGTGTTCTGTGAAGCAGTCGAGTCCAAGCCAAAATTATGGCACAGTGCACCTTAGAATGTAATAAATATTATTTTTCTAGAGATGTTCAGAAGCCACAAGTGCAATCCATGTGTAAACATTTGCAAGGGAGCTTTAAACTCAGGATTTTGAGTTGACCAAAGAACAACTGCAAGAAGTTTAGAGAGGCTTTATACACCATCTGTACTTCTCCAAACGTGGGGAATGAATGGGCTGTACAATCCTTGAATACTTGCTGTAAAAGGGATGCAGAGCTGCTGTGGGCTTCCAGACCTGGCCTGGGACTTGACCAAAGGCAGTCCATAGAATGTTCCTTTGAGATGTGGAGTTTTTATCTGGTCACCCTTACATAGTGATAAAACTTTATGTAAGTATACAGTACTGTCACTGGAGGAGTAGAGGAAGGGAAGCTGGACTTAAGGCTAGGTCAGTATGTACAGAGCACTTTTAGATCCTTAAACACGAGACATAATGCCAATACAAAACAGTATTTGTAACGATCCCTGGGCATGAAAATATGTTATGGTTTGTTCTTCATGTTGAAAAAAGAAATTTAATGACACTCTGAAATCCTCTGAAGAGGTTACTTATTTGACAGTATGTTTTCTCTCTCACATGAAGAAGCCAGGCATTGTCATTAAAACAGAGTGGGAAAGTAGAGGGGAAGTAAGAAAAATGTTTTCTTCAAACAGCCTCTGGTGTTCCAAAGCCAACATAATGTGTAATCTGTACAGTGTGTAACAAACACAGCAGATTTAGATTCTTTCTAGGTCTGTCTTATTTCTTCTGCATGTTTTACAGAAATCTGTTATTTAATTTTATATTGTGCATGCAAAAAGGCTTTCAGCATAATCCTTTTAATTGGTCTTATCAAATGAAATCACGGTCATGCAAGTTTAAGAGATTCTGTTCAGCAAACATCTGCAAATGGTATTCAGAGCTATAGTATAAAATTTCCTTTGAGTTTCTTCTATGGCTTTTATGTCTAAATTTTTCATCTAGACTCTGTTTTTTGAAAAAAAAAAATCAAGATAACTTGTATAAGCAACTCAATTTTGTAGAACTGTAGCATTTTGTTTTATAAACCAGGTATAAGGAGTATAAACATCTGTAAGTTAATAGTCTTGCATTGCTTCATAAAGAGGAAAGTGCAAGGACAGTGTAAGATTTACAACCTTGCAGTTTCCCAGGCAAATGCTGCAGAGTGCAGGTACATGGTTCATATATTCCTCATGTACAGACAGCATAAAGTTATCCAAACTCTTTCTATGGAGATAAAGAGCTGGCTTAAGATATCTTATTCCATCCTGGTATCTTCTGGCAGTGTAATTAGACAATAAGAGAGTCTCATATTGTCTGATACCACTGGGGTGCCAAACAGGTTGAAGATTCAGGACCTGGTCCTCTGTTAATATATAAAATTTACAATCACTCCAGATGAATGGATTATTTAAGTAATTGTCAGCACAGATAGCTATGTTACAGATCTGTATACATCCAATGTACATATTCCTGAAAACAGTCTTGGGAAGGACGGATAAGGGTGTAATTTGATTCCAAAATAATACAGGTATTAATGCTACAGAATGGAAACAAGGAAGAAGGATTCTGTGTAGTTCTTACAGAAAGATTCTGATCTTAATTGGAAACCTGTTATGAAAGTGAACAAATGTTTCATAAATTCTCTATTATTTGGTATTATTAGCAACCCTACTGTATGAATCCAGGATACATTTCATGTGTGACAATGCTCATGACTTTGTGGTGTAATCCTAAAAAATAACACATGGGAAACACTTTAGATAGTAAATTGTTCATCTCACCAACATCTTCCTAGAAGAAAAAGAAATACTAATAGTGACAGTAACTTTCTCAGGAAAGACTGAGACTGGCTGCCCAGTGACTGTTTTAGGAAGTGATCATGTATTTATCAGTTAAGAACAGAAGCACAAGCCCATCCATGCTGGTCTTGAACACCAGCTAAACAATCTGCTATTGTCATCATTCTAGAAACAGATCAATCAAAATCAAAGTTTGCTCTATTTTAAGTTAAAAGTTAGAATGAAAATATCAATTGATGATGGTATCAATTCTTTCACTTACCAACCAAGATTCCAGCCAAGTATTCTGGCAAGACTTCCACTTGAACTACTTATTAATGCATAAAACTTTTATATAATACAAACATTGTACAGTAAACCCCACCATTTCATATATGCTTACCATCTTGCATGTTTTGACTAAGGATCTGAGAGTGGAGCTCCTCCAGGCTAATTCCCAGGCATTTACAAATTTCCTCTGCGCTGTAAGGCTCAGGATGTAATACCTCCTCCACAATGGTCAGCATTTCCTCTAGGCTAACTCCTAGCTTGGTTTGCACATCATGGAGTCTCAACATTTTTCTCCACTCCAAGCCTTTTGACTTTGAGAGAAGCTAAAATTTAAAAAAAAACAAAAAAACCCAGAAAACATTGTGCTTTCCTGTTTAAAACTTTTAGTTGTCCATAAGTATCTTTAAGGCCTATTTTCTGTTTTCATTTCTTAATTGAGAACCATCAGAACCTACTTACTATCAGTACAGAGTAGTCAATACATATATTTATTATTAGAGGTCTGTGAATGACAGGTATTCTTCCCTCAACTCAGACACTGTGTGTAAAAGCCCTACTGGAATTATTTGTGTGACATCAGATCAGTGATTTATCCTCTTCCATGGACTTTGTTACTTCAAGCACTTACTAACCTTTTACAATCCCATCTGGACAACTGTTTATACAAATGCTGTGATGTTATAACACTAGAAGTCCTTAAAAAGTTTATTTCCATACTATTAGTATTTGCTCTAACATTTCAGTTTGACATTTCCAATACGCTCCTGGAATTTTCTGATGAACTTTTGAGATTGTCATTACAACCTTTTCTCATAATAGCCTTAAAAATATGAAAGTGGTCGTAAGATTTGTGGGGAGAATAACCATAACCTTTCTCGATCTCTGGAGTTTTAAGTAAAATTTAAGTACCTTCTTTAACATCCAATTTAAAGGAATTTTTGAGCCGTTACAGGAATCGTATAATGTTGGTCTGAATCTGTTCCATTCCTACACGGTTGCTGTGATATTCATTAATTAGATGGATCTGCTTTCCCCACTCCTGGCAATGATACCATGCTTTGTGTGGCTTTGTGATGTTTTGGAAGTTGACAGTCGTTACCACAACACACCAGAATCCTGAAAGACAGAATGTCCAACAGGCTTTTCTCTGGAAGGCTGAAATATGTGTCGATGCTCCCTTGTGTCTAATGAAAATGGTAAAGCAGCTTTCCTCATAAGGTGAAATATTTTGATGTTATGAATTATAGAAGAATAGTCAGTGGTCATTGACATAGCACCTGTAATTTCAACAGATTACAAAGCAAAACAAAGATTAGCAGGTACACAGCAATGTCATTTTACTGTGTTCATAGGCACATGGTGTATGTCCAGTGCTGCACCATTTAAATTGAGTTTAAAACTTCTAGATCAAGCTGTATGTCAGGAAAGAGTTTAAACCAGTACAGAAAAGCCAGGAAATGAAATCCTTTTTCTATACAAATCAGTATTCAAACCTTTTATCAACAAGGCCAGGATTTCACCCAGTGTGTTTTATTCTTTTCAATAAGCACAGGTTTGGACTGAGATTGGTTTGAAATCATTTGTCTTGATTCAGCTAAGCCATTTAATTTTCTGGGTTAAAAAAGTCATAGGATTTACATACATATCTGAAAAATATTTGATTTGTTTTGTGCAAAGTTACAGCATGAAATTTAAGCAGATCTGCTGCCCAGCTATCTGGTGTAGATTCTTACTCTCCCCCAACAGTGCTTTTTTTGCAGGGGCTCTGTCAGTTTTGCTTTATTACAGTATCTAAAAATTAACTACTTTTGGTGCCACCTAGTGACTTGCTGAGATTTATGTGAGTCTCAGCAGAGCAAAACAAACAAAATCCTAATCATATAACTTTGTTGCCATTTAAAACACAATTTTACATGTTCAGTGGTAGAGAAAGAAACAGAACTCTTTAGTGTCTAATGCAGAAATCAGTGTGAGACAATTTTTTCTGTAAAAGACTGGTTAAGTCAGTTCTGCCCTCCTTTTTAAAGGCTCTGAATACCTAGAACTCTACAGCCTTTATGTAATTTGTATTTTAGTTTACTTGCTGATAAGTTAGAATAAAAAGTACTGCTTCATTTTACTTAAGTATGTTGTATGTTGGTGCATATACATCTTCTTCAAAGTGCTAAATGAATGGAAATTATTTTCCTGATGCTTTAATCCCAATGTTCAGTATCCCCTGGACTTTATTATAAGGAGTAAAACAGAATTTACAAACAATAATATTCTATAAGGCAACCAAATTTTTTCTACTTCCTTTTTTAATAAATAAGCCCCTGCAGAAATATGCCACATGCATTGTCACATCTGTTTCCCTTTCTTCAAGGGAGATGCTGTATTTCAGGCAAGCCAACTACAGAGGGGTTTTAGAGGTCAAATGTTCCAAAAGGAAACTGACCCCGTTAGGCCAGCGGGCACAGCTTAGCTGGAAAGATCTGTCCTGCTTATAGCAAAGTGTTGATTCTAACAGCACTAGGAAAAGTATTATGGGCAAACAGAAATGGTTTTTCAAAACAGTCTAGCTGTAGCAGCACGAATTGTAATAGACATAGAACAGAAATGGGGAAAAAAATCCCATCTCTTTAATGTACAAAACCTAATCCCAGTACTTCTCCCACAGCTGGATATTTTCTTGATGATCTCTGACTGGACTGGCTAAAGATGTGGACATCAAGCAGCTCTTAACTGCCAGGATGTAGAATCTTTGGGCTTTATTGTTCTTTATTGTTCAACATAGGCACACTGGAGGACTGTAAATAACTGAGAGGAAAACATACTTGGTAAATGATGGGACAATTATAGATACAAGAAAGTCTGACTAGGAGTAATTCCAGGAATACTTTTACAGCAGCATCACTTCCTTAGACATAACATTTCTGCAATGCCACCTGAGCACTGTGGCCAGGAGCTGGAGGTGCTGTGCAGACACTGCTGGCCCCAGCCACGCTGAGGGCGAACAGGGGAGCAGCGTCCCAGCCCTGCTCTCACCAGCCAGGGAGGGACAGGAAATGTCTTTGAACTGGAAACTCTCTGTGGCACAGTGCAGGAGAGCACTCACAGCCTGCTGGAACTGAGAAAGGGGAAGAGAAAGGCAAAAGAATGATCCTCTAGAGGGAAGGGAAAGAAACAGAGTCTAAGATAATTTGCCAGAATGATCAAGAACTCATTTGCTGTAGAACAGACTGATAGCAAAATGTTCTACACTAATGCTAGCAGGGATATCTCCTGTTGGCATCTTTACCTGTGCAGTAAAACAGGATGAAATTCTAAAATTACTTAAAGCAGAAAAGGGGGGAAAAAGCCTATCCTAAGGCATTTAGAATGAGAATTTCTTTTAAAGCATGATTGCAAGGCCCAGCACGTTAGTTCATGGTTCCATTAGCTTAATGGTGCTTAAAAGACTTCCCTGTTTCCACTTACATACCTGCCCTCCTTCACCCCACTGTGACCTCTTCCCTAAAGACAGTCTTTTCCTGGCTCAATGTATTTTTATAGTGTGTGCAGCTTTCCATCTGGGTAGCATATGTTTAAAAACAGACAGGTGTATGTTGTTAGTCTCCTTACAATTGAGCATCTGCTAAAAGTACATTTTTAGAGATTGCATCACAGCTAACAGGAATGTAAAAGAAAATATGTTTCCTTACTACCTCTTCAGTATACTGTAAAGGACTAATAATTTAAAGCAATTTAGAAAACTGTGATTCAATTCACAAAGTCTGGTATATGGAACAATAACTTCAAAAGCTCTCACAGCTTAATGCACTCGTTGTACAGTGCCTTTTAGAATAGATTATATGTGAAGGCTCTCTATTCCTTATGCAAAAAAAAATGAATTTACAAAAGAAGCTCCTCTTAAAAACATATATTTTGTCCATTAGCAATCCCAAATTAGAGATTTGGGATTGCTAATAGACAACATATACAAAGAGACAAGTCCTTATCTTCATTTTCTTAATGGCTTAAAAACCTTCTTATTAACTTCCGTGACAACAGCTTTAACCATGGTCGTTGGTGCTATTTGTTCTACCATGTCTTAGATACAACTGAAATGCAACTATTCCTTTGATACTTGAGTTTAAAGCCCATTTAAAAAAGTCATCTGAAGTCTAGCTTCTCTCCTCAAAAAATATCTCAGCATATTATTTTATAATAAATTTTGTCAGTGTCTGATCAGATCTTCAACTATTTTTTAGCACTAACTAAAACTTTTAAAAAATTATTTTTAATGGAATCATGATGCCAACAGATGTTCAAAGTACTTTTGAATAATGATCAGATATTGGTATAATGTTCTGTGGCAAGGAGTTCCACACTGCATTTTTCAAAGCTTTCTTCTAGACTTTGTGACCCACATTCTGTTCTTTCCCACAGCACTCTATGTTGGGTACAGCTGCAGTGAATCTTTATGCTTACTTCTTATTTACTCTTATCAAAGAAAAATGTACTGTCTTCCCATAAAGAACTCAAATCAAACCCTATATCTACGTATTCCTAAACATACAAAATCCAGAATTAATGCAGAACTTAGATTTCCCCTGTTCAATTTCCATACATTTTGGAGATCATTTCAAGCTGTAAACTGGCAGTACACCCTGAATGTTGGGGTTTCATTCAAGCCTGTTTTTAAACTTTACACTGAGATACATGCTGCTATTCAGCATTTCTAATATTACTTCCAGGCCTTCAACTATTAGCTTGGATGCTCTCTAAATCCTAGAAAATACACATCTATTGCCATATATACATATAAACATGTGACCATACTGGTTGCTTTCCATTATTTGTCATTAATCACTTTTAATTAGAAACAGTCTATCTTATTAACTGGGAGTATTTTTTTTCTGAAAAATAGACTTATTTCCTCCACTGAAATATAATAAAAATTAATTGAATACAACTAAATCATATAATCTTCTATATAAGGACACAGTCCTTGCACTTCCATTAAGCTCAGCAGGAGTTCTGCTCCTGCATATGGAAGTGTCTGGAAAGAAAAATTATACTAAGAGTAGCACCTAGCCAGGTGTTAAAGACACAACTGGTCAGAATTGGAAAAAAGCACATATTTAGATGAAGGTTTCATTAGAGTTTGACATAAGCCATGTGTTACCTTTGTAGCCAGCCGACACTCCATTACCCTAATATTGTAATGAGAAGTTGCTGCTTTATTCATTTCAACACAACTGTTAGCAATAACAAACGTTGCTCCACTTGGAAGTCTAACATCAGTTGCCCTCAGTGGACTGAACTCTATCAACTTGGCCTATTGAAAGAAAAATGAATGGTTAGTTTTAATTTACTACTAGCTAACAGTGCACTTAGTTCTATAAATCAAATGCAAATTTGCATGTTTTTTCTCTTGAAAATCCAGGCACAGTTGAGGAAAGAAAACTGACATGAAACAGCAAGAAAAGAGATTTAACCTCATTGGTCAAGTTACACATACATTTCAAACTCTTCCCTGTAGCTGGATTTTAAAATGTTTCCATTAAGTCTTTGGGTTTTTTCAGCATTTTACAGAACCCCACCCAACCTATTTTTCTTGCCTGTTTAAGACAACAGTTTCACTTTGATCTGCAGAGAAGTACCAGGCCTGGCTGAAGCTAATGTGCATGCCACTAGAAACAAGGGGCTTTGCATTCCCTGCCCCTTCATCAATGTCCATCTCCCCCTCAGTCTTCTCATTTTGCGCTACAGCAAGATTAGTACAGAGGTACAATGTGGTACCAACGTTTTAGGACTGATCATGGTACATGCAGACAATCAAACCAAGCAACTAAATAAAACTATGTGTAAGAATGTAGTTACTGTTTCCTCCTTTCTGACATAAGAGACTGCCTTGCCTCACACATGCTTACACAAGCTGTGTAAGATGTTCCCAACATTTGTGACCTTTTCATGGAATAAGTTAGGCATCCATTAATTAAATAATTCAGGATGTAATGTAATCAAGAGATTAAATTCACATCTGGTTTTTCACTGGGGTAAGTTGTAAATCATGTGCCCTGTTTTGGCTTCTTAGAATAGACTGTAACTGTGCAAGCAGGGACATCTTACTGGTTTTGGCATTGTTCACTCCCAGAGAGTCCCTTGAGCAGCTAGAGTGCTAAATAAACAATGACAAATCTGCTTGTACATTATGTACAGCATATGTGTTACTCCCTGCCATTGAGATTCTGGACCCCATCACAGAATTACTATCAAGACAGACAGACTTGCTTACATTTAAATATACCCTTTAAGATTTGCTACATTAGACCAGAATGTACCACTAAGCTGGTCTAGTGTCCTGATTCTGACAGTAGCCATAAATGGCTATTTAGGGGGAATATAAAAATAGAACATATACAAAGCAATCTTTTCTAGGGACATGTTTTTCCAAATTCCCATAAGCAAAGATTATAATGGTTATACTTACACTGGAAGAAATATCTGACTATCATGTTAAATAGCTACATTTAGTTTAATACTCTCTTAGTGTATCCACAAAGGTTTTTTTTGAATCCTTTTAAAACTTCTGCCTTCTACAATATATGGTATTTCTCAATTTAACATGAATGTTTTGGAAAAAAACCCAAACTTCCTTGTTTGTTTTTTACAAGCTGCTTGCTAAAGTCATTGTGTTTCTATTAGTTCTTCAGTGATGAAAAACATTGAGTCCTCCATTTACCTTCTCTTTACTTGTTTAGAGAATTTACAAAGTATCACCCTCAAAGCTTCTTCTTTTCCAAGCTGAAAAGTTTTTAATTGCTCAGTCAATGCTCATATTAAAAAAAAAATAGCTTTGATAAACCTCAGTGTCCTTTACGGTACTTTTCTTGGTTTTTTAAGATGGGAGGCTAAAGCTGCATTCAGCTGCAAGTACACTGAAGCAAGGATATTATTCTGGTTTGTTCACAATTCTCTTCTCATCCGTTCTAATGTTTTCTTTGTCTTTTTGGTCACCACTGCTATATATCAGAAAAGCTTCCACTTACATAATCATCTCTGTGTATGGCAGGAAAATATGCTGCTTCCTTATTTCATTATTCATGTCCTGTGTTTTTACCACTAACAGTAAAAACATGATGGAAAGGTGTAGAGTAGGTACAGGTGATGTGAAATTGAAAATACATGTGTCTCATGATGGCATTAAATGTTTGGTGTAATTCTAGGAAATAGTTTTTTTTCAGTGTAAGCCCATCCAAGACATGTCATTAAGAAATAAAAGCTGTAGAGATATAATGCCACGATCATAAAGAAAGTAAAGATTGTTATGAAGCACTACATTAATTCCAATAAAAGTATTTTGACAGGTCTGAGGTTTGAACAGTTGCAGTCCTGTGCACCTTCTGGGACAGCAGATGAACCTCACTGTAAATTCCACTGCAAGCACTCATGTATAACTTGGCAGGTCCTGTTTATCACAGCTAGTTCACCTTCTGTCACCACGTTTAAGACTGCTAAATGCCTTCTGCATCAAAATCCAGCCACAGAATTGTCTGGAATTAGCAAAACTGGTGAAAAAAAAGTCTCCATTGTCTTTGTAACTGAACCTGGCAAAACTTCCTAGAACTGTTTGGTTATAAGAAGTTTCAAGAAAGCATTTTTGTAATAATTATCCCATTTGCACTGAATACAAGGCATGCCGACCATTCAGATTTCATTATATGGGAAACATTCTAAGTTCAGCATGAATTAGCCAAATAGTGGAACCTGGTGCCCTTCTAGAGAACATCTTTCCCCACATCTTTTCCTTCCTCCTTGCCATTTCTGATTTTCCTCATCATATTGATTCAAACTTGTCATACTCGATTGTACCCAAGTTTGTAAGTTTAATTCCTGATTCATTTGTATACCAACGGTCTTATACTGCTTATTGGGGTATTCCAGTTTCTAGTCTTGCCTTTCTTCTAGATACTAATGAAGGTATTTTTTTGCTTACATAAATTAATATTACATTGTTAGATTACAAAGGTAGACATACAGTTCCTTCTTCTGCCAGAAAAGAGATTGACTGGTCCATCCCTCCGCCTTCTGTGCCAATGTAACGTTCGCTCTTTGTGCAAATTTCTGCGAGTTCCACCTGGAAAAATATTAACATATGAGCCTTCAGCCACAGTTAAGGATGATACTTTTATTCTGTTTACATATTAATTAGTGAGAAAACAAAGGAAACAATGTCAGAGTTCTGAAACTATGATCTCTTATAAGTCAAATAACATAACCTGCTGTCAACCAGGATGCCACATGGCCCCTTTTCCCTTTTTGCTCTCAAGCAAAAAAGAAGCAACTACTCAGCCTCCAGAAGACACACCATAGCCAAATGCTTTTCAGACTATCCTTGTTTACACTCTTAACTCTTGTAGCTGTCCTCCTCCCACCTTCCTTGTGCACTTCAAATCCTTCCATCCCAATAGCCAATGTTTTATTGATTTAATTAGATGAATCCATCTACATGTGAATCTCAGCTTAGCAGAAAATTGCAAGTTATTACTTCATATTGTTTTAATGTACTGACTCCATAATCAGAAATTACTCCAAAACTGTTTCTCACTGCAGATATTCAAGTCAATGGTCCTTGTTGTGTCTCCTTGAGATACTGTACTCTGCTTATCTGAACTAATTTGTAACTATATGTGATGTGCATTTCTTTGTGACATTTTAGGCATATCTTTGTGCATTCTAATACCTGCAGGTCAGAGGATACCATGGGAGGGTGGAATATCAATGTTGTAACTGTCAAAAATAATAATTAACAGTAAAGCTTTCAGCCATCAGGCTAAGTCAAATTGAAACACAAGAGAAACCTTGGAAAATGGTCAAAGAACACAGAGTAGTCAAAAACAAGTGGGTTAAAAGGAAAGGATTTGTGTCCATCTATTTATGACCCCTACAAGGAAGATGGTAAAAGAACTTTAGAAAAGCCACAGGCTGTTTTCCAGTGGCAAAGTCAGATTCAGATTCCACAGTAAGGATGTAGCATTACAGGACTGAAAAAAGCTAAGCAGCAAGACAGGGACACAAGCCAGCACACAGCTGTAAAAGGCAGCAGATAGAGGCAGTAAATCACGATGCTGAGAGAGGTATGTGCAGGGTGCCTGCCTGCTTGCTCGCTCAAGTCCTCTAATGGCCCCACTGACACAGCTGTAAAATTGGTGCTTAGATGAATGTAATCAGGCTGAACTGTTTGCAAATGCACTAACAACCAATTTACTCAGCTCACAATGCAGTTATGGCCAATAAGCTTTAGGCTGATAAGCAGAAGTTATCAAAAAACATTAACAAAGTTATTCTAAAACTATGCAGAATGTATCTCTTTGACTCCAACATGGTAAACGACCTCGTAGGAGAAAAAGACCATTAACGAGAGAACACTGAAAATACAGTCAGTAAAAATACTCTCCTTTTTGGCACTGCCTTTCCTTTGTGCATTTTAAAGATGAGCTGAAACAATGTTTCTTTTATTTTTCTTGAAAAACTATAGAAACTTCATGCATTGTGGTGCTCTTTCTTTTTAATGAAAAACATTTCCCAGGTTCATGAAAATTCTTTTTTCCTCTCTGTCCCATGTTCACTCAAGTCCCATTTCCAGTTTGAACCTCTGATCTCTTCATCCCATCAATGAAAGTTTAACATCTAGTTACCATATCTCCCTGCTCCACTATGAGCTGAAAATAATTCTGAATGAAATGCTAATGAAGGCAATGATGCTTTTCCCCATTTTTTAATGCTAAAATACTCAGGAACAGCTCCACAGAAAATAACAAACCTCCACACACAGCAGTCTCTAGATGCTCACTCCTTTCTACATATGAAGGTGTGCCTATTTACAAACAACTGTTGCTGTGACTTAGGAATACCTGCATGTTTCAGCCAGTTCTGCTGAACCTGCCTTTTGTCTCTCTGAGAACACAGCAATACCACATCCCTAATTTTTGCTGCCACTGGCAGGAGCTTTCAGGCTGCAGCTTATGAATATTACTCACTGTGAGAAGAACCACGCTGGCAGACGGGCCATGCGCATTCAAGTAGGAGCTGTGGCTGTGCAAACCTGGCCTGAAGTACAGCTCCTGAGGTACTCCCAACATAAATTCTGTTCTTGGGCACAGCTGCCTGAGCTATTACTTCATCTGCAACTGCCAGATAAAGCTTGGCAAAGTCAGAAATTAGGCATTTCACTCTTCACTTAGTCTGGCTGCATCTCTATCTCCACATACACATCAGCTAGCACTTGACTGCCTAAATTGTTTAGACTTTATGAGCCTAGGCTTATTAAATGAGTATCAGGAGAAGTCTTGCAGAGGAGGAATGTTAACAATTAGGACAGTGCCACTCCCCTGTCCCTTTACAAGGTCTGGTGAACTGTGCCTGGTTGAGCACCAGGCCTCGCTGGGTCCGGCTCTCCAGCTGTCCAGCCGCGTATGCCGAGCAAGCAGCGCTGCTCCAGCTTGAGCAACTTCTGTTTTGAAACTTAGCAAGGATTGGCAGGACCACCAAGTAGTAACTGGCAAGGGTTGCAAAGAACCCTCTCCACAAGACAGCCCAAGGCATCCCTGAAATATTATTTGGTTTCTAATTTAAACGGGCCCTTGCTGACACAGGCTGGCTTTAATACGAGGATGAGAAGCATGTGAATGGAGAGGAAATTGTCATCTGTATAGAGAGCAGTTTCTACTTACTATTGAGACAAATGGGCAAATGTTTGCCTTTTTGCTAAAATGAGTGAAAGGGCAAAGTTTCATTGGAAACTAATGTGAAGACTAAACTGGAGAGCCTTGTGTACATATTTGATGCTTGGAAAAGGATGGTCATATGAATGAAACAGTGAACTGAATTTCAGGAGGTCTGGGCTCAATTTCTAGCTCCACATTAAGCTTCTTGTGAGTCAGGGAAAGTCCCTTTAATTCATCACGGCTCCATTTCCTCAGTAAAATGAGGAGTATCTTCCCCCTCTTTCTAATTAGTAATGGCTACTTGGGATTCTTACATGATAATGCTATAAATATGTGTGACTTCATTACTAGAAAGTGAAAAAAATGCCCATTTTAGTACACAAGTTCTTAAGAGTTTAGGCTTCCACAGAAAATATCTCTAAGGAAAACAGTCTGTGAGAACCATGTAACAAAAGGAAATAGCTTTTGCCTATCTAGAGCAAGGCCTTGTTTCCATTCAATATGCAACACCCAGAATCTCTTTAAGGAAGGGACTGTTTGGATCATGTGCTATTTATATATTTTCAGTGTATGTCTGACCTGTAAAAATACAGAGCTTCTCAGATCCCAGATTTCACTGCATAACTTGGTAACATCCCAAACAAATACCTGGGCACGGATCTTCCCTCTTGGATGCACTGCAGTTTCTGCAGAGAAGTAACTCAGAGCATTCTCTCAGCCACATTTAGGGGAACTGTGCCCCAGGCTGCACCACAGCATCACCTGTCAGGCTGGTAGGTTACAGGGGGCCTACGCTCCTTGGTAGACTTCCAGATACAATTGTTATGTGTATAAAATAATAATGTGTATAATAAGCCTATGGAGTTCTGCAGAAGTCCTGGAACAGCCTTTCTCACTGAACTCGGTGAAGGCAGATATTTGTTGCTCATGGGCACCATGAGAAATACAGAGAATGAATAAACCCCATCTGCACATAGACTCCACTTGCATCCCACACATTCTGATTCATATGACAGACCACTTTGAGCCAGCCATAAAACATGACTTGTTCTATGCACTCAGGTTCATTAGCATGCTTTTCCATCCCTAAAACAGTATTTCAAAAATACTAGTAAATCACAATTTAAATCTTCGTAGAATTTTACATAGTTTACTTTAAAAGCATTCCTATAAGGCTGCTGTTATCTTCAACTTAGAGACAGCACAGATACTTACATGATTTGTTCAAAGTCATGTGAATCAGTCACAAAGCTGAAATGAGCATTCAAAAACCTCCCTATTTCCAGCATTGTGGTTTATTCTGTAAAGAATATAGTCTCATAGAAACAGTTGCAGGATAGATTTAAAATCTTATTCATATGATAGTAATGAGAAGTGGAACAGAGAGATACTAAAATCATAGTTAAAATGGGTCTGAATAGTAACATTATGACTGCAAAAAAACTATTTAGATAAATTAAAAATTTCCTTAGCACACCTATTGTGAGGTCTACATATGTTACTGCCCTCTGAATTCTGTATTATTGTTTCAGGAAGTTGTTCCAACAGGACTGACTAGACCAGGTAAACTATATCATGCAGACAGTAAGTACTAAGCTGTCATCTACGCTGTTAAACAAGCAAAGTGATATATTTAATATAGTAATTCAAAAAGCTCAAACATCAGGAGATGTTTCCTCTGATCTCACCCCTCTGTAAAAACCCTCAAAGAACCCAACAACCTAGCCCAGAAGGGAAGTGCATATAATCACAGAATATCCTGATGTGGAAGGAACCTCCCAAGGATCTTCAAGTCCCTCTCCGGGCCCTGCCGAGGACAAGCCCCAGAATCCCATCATGAGCCTGAGCACGTGCCTGTAAGTAATGGCTTGTCAGCTGGATAAAATTCATTAAAAGACTTGAGTCAGAATAAAAATATAGAATATATGAAGATAAAAGCAGCCTCTGTGGATCAAACCAATACCACTTCTAGTCCTGTATCTTGTAACTGAAAGTGGGTTCTTCGTACGGACCAAAGGCCAAGTAAAGATCTTATTTCCCCAGGATTTGACATTTTGATCAGGAGTTCCCTAGGTTGAATGTCAGTTCCACACCTTAGTTCCTAACAAATTTTTATATGTGAACTTATCCAGACTCCCTTTTAACTTATACACAACTTTAACATGTAGGTCATCCAGGAACAAGGACTTCTACACCTTGTCAGGTGAAGAACTGTCTCCTTTTGTTAATTATTGATGTGTACCCGATTAGCTTTATTTCTCACCTGCTGGCTCTAAACTCTTGAGGGAGCAACAAACAATGACTCCCATCCACTCCATCAATTACATTCATCATTTGATGAATCTCTGACCCCTCCTCCTTTAAGTGATTTTTCCCAGAGTCCTAACATGCTTTTATGGTGGTCATTCTG